TGATGAGTATCGTGGTTGTGATGGGGCTCGCCATATGTTCTATTTATTGGTGGGTCAACCATAATGTTTCTCTTCCCTCTCGTAGTCTCAAGAAGAAGGTGAGTTTATTGAACTTAGAACTCTTTGCAGTAGAGGATCGAACTCTGATGTTTTTACTCATCATGACATAATTCTTTTTTTTGCAGGACAAGCCAAAGATGGGAACAATGGAGAGTTTGAAGTTCTTGGTGTCTTCAAAATACATTAGGGATCTTGCCACATTGGTGGTTGCATATGGCATTAGCATCAACCTTGTTGAAGTTACATGGAAATCCAAGCTCAAAGCTCAGGCAAGAAAAATAACCTTTGAAAGACTAACTTTTGATTGGTGTCATTGTTTCTCGTACCCGTAAAACAAATATTTTTCCCAATTTTTTTCCCCATTTTTTTCATGCACGTATTATTAATTATTATTATAATTGCAGTTCCCGAGCCCCAACGAGTATTCGTCTTTCATGGGTGATTTCTCAACTGCAACTGGCATCGCAACTTTTACGATGATGTTGTTAAGCCAATGGGTGTTTGACAAGTATGGGTGGGGAGTAGCGGCAAAGATAACCCCGACAGTCTTGCTCCTCACGGGATTTGGTTTCTTCTCTCTCATTCTGTTTGGTGGGCCGCTCGTACCTGCACTTGCCAAGTTTGGGATGACTCCTCTTCTAGCGGCTGTTTATGTGGGTGCAATGCAGAACATTTTCAGTAAGAGTGCAAAATACAGCTTATTCGATCCTTGCAAGGAAATGGCGTACATTCCTTTGGACGAGGACACCAAGGTGCATTGCCCATACACCTCTTTTCTCCTTGGATACATTAAAATATTGAATTCATGGAATGCACATAGTGATATTAATTATAGTCTGTGTGTACTCTGCGAGCATGTGTTTGGTGGTATAGGTTATGTAAAACCTTGTCATTCCGAACACTAGAAATCATCAGAACGGTTCTAGAGCCATTGGCTCCGGATAACACTGCGGTGCCATTTCCTTTTTAGGCACCTACGGTGTTTTTTTTTTTTTTGCAAAATTGATGGTCCCTACCTCCCGAAAAACCCCCACCCCGGTCTGACCCCAACTCACCCCGTCACCCCCTACATTTATTTGACTTTGGGGTCAATTTTTTTTTATCTCAAAGTTAACTTAAATTGAGGGGTGGATATGAAGGGGGTGGTGGGGTGCATTCAGGTCGAATCGGGGTGGGGAGTTTACAAGGGGTTAGGGGTTAATAACCATCACTTTTTTGAACGGAGCACTATAGGTAATCCAATTTGAGCCGGAGCCATTTAAAGTGAGTGGCTCTAGAACCCCATTGAGCAATCATTCTTTCTTATATGCAAAAATTAGTGTAATTTCTACCCTCTTACCCCTTAAGGACAATCGGATATAAATCAGTGCTGCTTGTAAATGGGTTTGACATCAGGTGAAAGGCAAAGCGGCGATCGACGTGGTTTGCAATCCACTGGGGAAATCAGGGGGAGCTTTGATACAGCAATTCATGATACTGACCTTCGGTTCGCTTGCCAACTCGACCCCTTACCTCGGAGGTGTCCTCCTTGTCATTGTTCTCGCGTGGCTTTCGGCAGCCAAGTCTTTGGACGGGCAGTTCACTGCATTGCGGCGAGAAGAAGAGCTTGAGAAGGAGATGGAGAGGGCGGAAGGTTCCGGAATCCCCGCCGCCAAAGAAGGAAATGGTTCCCTCCCCGGGGTCACCTCTTCATTGAACGGCTCGTCACCGAACTCCCTTGGAGGCGACTCAGCTAGTGCTTCTTCAGAGCCGTCCTCCCAGAGGGTGTGATTGTAGGTCTCTTATAGTATGTTGGTTGTTTGAACTTTGAAGAAGGTAGGAAATAATGCAATGGGTTTTGGTTTTTGCCCATTTTGGAGATTTAAACTATTGTTCTTTTATTATTATTATTATAGGAAATTTGTTTTATGGGTAACAATAATCTGTAGCATTAAATGGTGGATGGTTTAAGCCTCTTCTTTTTTGGAGTATTATGAGCTCGTTTTTTTTTTTTGTTTTTGTTTTGAAATTATCTGATCTTCTTAGAGATCTTTAGGTTATTATGAGAGTTTTATACGAGTTCTACTTTGTAGTTAGTTTGCTCAAATCACATTTATGTAGCTTCATTTTACAGTCTGGTCATAAATTGTTTCCATCTCAAAATATATTATGCTTCCCACTTCATAGTTCATACCCCGTAGTATTTTGAAAAACCATTTTCCAAGTCAATTTAAATATTTAATCGTTGTTTCATAATTTAAATTAATCATATTACCCAATGGCTGTTTGTTTGCAACTTTTGTGCCATTTTTGGTTTGCGTGTATGGTCTTTACTCTTTAGTTCTAAACAAAGCCTAGGTAAAACCTTCATATAAGAAAAACTAATTCAAATGGTCTCTAATTATATCTAAATTTTCATACTTAGAGTCTGTTATTTAGGTCTTAAACTCTTAACTTCTAGTTTCTTCTAATTTTTTCTTGTTCTTTCTAGTTTTTCCAGTTCTTCCAGTTCCTTCCCATTCTTTCCAACTATTCTCATTTTCTTTAAACTCTTTCTATTCTCCAATCAATTACTCTAAAAACGATATATTTTTAATGTGATTATTATTATTATTATTATTATTATTATTATTATTATTATTACAGCTATTATGTTCATAACTATATTAAAAAATTATGGATAAATTAGTTACATAGAATCTTTTATTAATCTAACTTTATATAAGACCTCTCACCTTTCCCTATATTACTCAAAATTTTCTCATTTTTCTAATTTTTATATAAAAAAATTAATAGTCAAAATAATTTAGACAAAAAGACTAAAATAGGAGTAAGGCTCCGTTCCGTTCAACTTATTTTTTCTGATCTGATCTACTCTTTTGTAGTTCTGATCTAATCTGGTCTGATTGGGTCTGATCTGATTGGATCTGATCTGGTTTGATCTGATTGGGTCTGATGTGATCTGATCTGATTGGATCTAATGTGATATGATCTGGTCTGATCTGATTTGATTAATTATGATTTGATTTAAAATTCAAATCAATAATTTGATTTGACTTTATAATAACGTTTGAAAATTGTAATGATAATTCATATTATAATATAATCGATATTTTTTATTTTATGATTATTTTTTAGTGAAATAACATTAGTTAATTCATACATTAGAATAATCATTCATATTATAATGCAATAATATATTTTTTATTTTATGATTATTTTTTATGAAATAAGAATATTGATTTGATATTTTAATAATTAGTTCATATATACATTAGAATAAATATTTAATTCATATATACATTAAAATGTAATCAAATTTAGATAATCTATATAGAGAAGAGACAGTATTTTTATTAAAATATCTCATCATTATAAAATATCAACGTGTGCTTTGTACTATAAAACTTTTTTATGATTATTATAACACCATATATATAATAATTATTTCAATTACACTAAAATATACTCTGTATAAGAATATCAAATGTTAATTTTATTTAAGTCACGATTAAAGGTGATCAACTCGATGTAATAAAGATCAAAATTTTAGAAACTCAAATTACAGGTTGCAATAAAAATGTATTTTAAAAGTAGAATTAGATTGACAATTTCAATGTATTTTAAAAATAATTTTTCTGACGTCTAATAATTAAGGATTACTTTCTTAGTTTTCTATTTAACTTGTTTCTAAAGTTTATTCTTTTTCATTTTTAAAAATAATAATAATAATAATAATAATAATAATAATAATAATAATAATTCTTGATTGGATCTGATCTGATCGGATCTAATCTGATCTAATTGGATATGATATGATCTGATCTGATTAGATCTGATCTGATTTGATTTGGTTTGGTCTGATCTCATCTAATTTTAATAAGAATAAGAAAAAAAGCAGAAAAAATAAGTTGAATGGAATGAGGCCTAAAACATAAAAATGTAAAAAAAAGTTCTATATTTTTATTTCAAAAATAGGACTTACAATGAAAATAAAGTGTCAATCATGAAAGAAAAAATAAGTTTGATTAAATTATGTGACATTTCTGATATTTAAAATAAAATCTTGTAATATATAAAGTATAATTACAAATATATTATTTATAATAAATACTGCATAAATAAATTGATGTGCAATGTAACCACAAATACTTTTTAAAATTTAACATTTTGATATTTCTGCTAACTTTATATTATAATTATTTTTTGCAATAGTTGTTTTTTGTATTTGAAAAATAATGTGATGATGATGATGATGATGATGATGATGATGATCATAATAATAATAATAATTTATAACAACATGAATTAGAAACAAAATAATATAAAAATACACTAAAATTATTTTTTAAAAAGTTTTTTTAGGTTTTCCATTTTTTTGAAATTTTTCTAGTTTCTTCCAGTTTCTTCCAGTTTCTTTTAGTTCTTTCTAGTTTTTCCAGTTCTTCCAGTTTTTTCTAGTTCTTTGCAGTTTTTTCCAATTTTTTCTAACATCCAACTCTTTTTTTCTAATAATAAAGAACACGCTCTTAGTCTCTAATTCTAAGACATTATATAAATAACCCTAAATTTTTTAAAATTAGTCCGTCATATGTCCTTCAGAGATTATATATCGAAAAAATATTTTGCCACATATGATCTAAAAGACGACTTATGTTATAATTATTAAAAAAAATCGAAATCATTTATCTAATGCTTAGAATTAAGGACTAAATATGGAAAATCACATATTATTAGAGACCATTTATAAAATTTATTTTATAAGAAAATATAGTGGGAACACTTAATTTCTTGATTCTTATCTTAGCAGGGCTCCTATGTTTAGTTGGGCAATTGAAAATTCCATTTCAACCCTAAAAGCTAGCCGTGTTCCTCTCCAATGGGCATTGGCAACGGGGTTCGTTCGGGATGGTGCAATCAATACAAAAAAAATGGGTATTTTATTATTGGACACATCCACAAACAATGTTACTACTTTACTCCAAACTTACACAAAAATCAATACAAAAGAATGAATCTTAATAGGGGAATGCCATTTGTACAAAACTCACTCATCCAAACTCACACTACGCCCAAAAATTTGAATTACACATTGTGTGAAACAGATGAGTACTTCAGATTTTTGGGTGTGGTGTGGGTATGGTGGATGGGTGTGAGAGAGGGAAATGCTCTTATTATGCCTTCATTGCTTTCACAATGGTTTTGAAGGATGATTTAATAAAGCTGTTCTTGTTGACTAGGCCAACCCCCTCATCTTCATCACCTCCACCCCTCAACAATGGCTTCTTCTTTCTCATGCAATCGACTCTCTTCTTCATGCCACTAAAGATCAGAGATGGGGAGGACGGAATGCGCCTAAACCCCCTGGCACTTTCCGACCTGCTCAGTTTCCTTTCCATATTATCCTTCTCCTTTGTTATGCCGGCCTCCTTTCCATCAAACCCATCCGAACAATCTTTAACTTCTTTGCCATCTTCCACACTTGCATTGCTTTTTCTTGGGTGGAAGATCTTTGTGTATGGTGGAGGAGGATGAGGATTCAACAAGGGAGTGTTGTTCTTGTTTTCTTCCTCTGCATTGGTTTCGTCTTCAATGACAGCTTCTGCATCTGCTGATTCTAGAACACTTGGAATGTTGATTTCTTTGTGAGGGTATTTGGAGTTGATCATCTCAATTATTCCTTTTTTATCCTCACCAGGAGCAGGAGAAGTGGAGGATTCATCTGTGTTTTCCAAGAGAATTTGAAGCCATTTTTCAACATTTCCTTTCCCGCGCTGCTTTTGACTATCTTCGTCTTCTTCTGTTCCCGACCCGCGACAAACTGGAAACTTTAGACTGACTCCCATCTCCTCCTCTTCGAGCTTTGCTGGAACATTGTCCTTAACAGCTTCTTTCTCTTCTTCTTGAATGGCTGCTGATGGTTTGTGATCTTCCTCCAAGAATCTTAATTGCTTATAATGGCTTTGATGGTTCGATTCAATCCTATCTGGAGAATGTAGAACCAGCTTTCCAGCAGCAGCGTAATCAACTTGTTGAGGAGCATGATCCTCTGAGAGCAGGAGATCCATTCTTGATCTCTTTCTTTTCTGCTCATTTTCTGGTCTTATTTGCTGTTCTAACTCATCCCTCTGCTTGAATTTTAGGTACAGTTCTTTCTCTGCAGAATCACAGATTGCTCTCTGAGCTTCAAGCCTTGCCATGAGTGCATTACTTGCTGCTAGATTCAATCTCACTTGTTCTTTATACACAACACTCCTGCAACACAGAGATCAAAGAGTAAAAAACAAAGTCCAACCACAAAAAAAATCAATCCATCAAGAAAAAACAAAAGCCAAATTGATTACTGATGCATGGCATCTCGAATCATCTTCTCCAGCATTGATCTGTGGGAGGACTGAGCCTCAGCGAGCTTGCGGCATTTCTCAGCACGCCGCCTTTTCTTAATGAGGATCAGCTCCAAATCTTGGATGCTCACTTTCTCCTCCTCACCCTTTTGTTTCAACTCACTCACTTCTTCATCCAACCTCTTTATTTCTGCCTTCATTTTCACAGCTTCTTCGCGGTGCTTCAAAGAATCTCTGGCGATCACAATTGCCTGGTACGGGTTGCTGCTTGCCGTGTTGTCAGGCTCCCCATTCTCTTTGAGTTTCTTGGAAGCTGCAAATAAGCATATATTACAATTATAAATAAATGGTTCATTCCATTATTATTACTCCAAAGTCTTAAAAGAACTTACTAATTAAAGGGGTGCTTGATCTTGGCCTTCTGTTTATGTCCAAAGAATTGAGAACTGAACCATAAGATTCCCTTCTATTGAGAACAACAGCTGCTGGAGAAAGGCCAATCTTTCTTTTTGATTCATTGAAATGCTGAGGGAAGACATGGGAATCTACTGTTTGACTGTCATTCAATTCTTGATTTTCGGCTTCCGAAAACAGCCAAGAAAATGCCCTATGCCTGAAAAAGCAATAATTAAATTTGGGGACCAATCAACCCAGATTTCCTATGCACTTTCTAACCTCTCTATATAACACAAAATTAAGTTACCTGAAATCTGAATTTGTTGAAGCAAAGATGGATAAAAACTGGTTTATGGACAAACCAACTTGAAGATCCCACCAAGGTATGAGGAATTCTAACTGGTTTTGCTTTTTCTTGCACACTTGCCACTGTAAAATTCTTAGATTACTCAGAACAGTTAAACCCCCTCCTGCATAGTTTTGTTAAAAATCAAAGAAAATCCATAAACTCACAAAAACTAAGACAATTGATGAAATAATGACAAACTTCAGGAGCATAGATTTCAAAAAGTTATTACTGGAGCAAGGAAACCAATGATCAATATTCCATGCTAGAGGAGAGGCTGAATCAGCATGATAATACAACACATTTCCATATGGATCTACACGGAATATTTCAGGATCAAAGCCTGCATTACTGTAAATTTGCAGTAAACCCTATTTAGTTAATATAAATCTCAGAATTATAAACACCCATGAAAAAAATACACAAACTAGAGTAAAAATTCAATCTTGGAGGTACCCAAGGTGGTTGAGTTGCTTCCATAAGAGATTGACAAAAATCTTGGCTTTCGCAGTGGGTTTCGCGTTCGGATCAATAACGGGAAACATCTCATCGAATTCCTTTACTCTCAAAACCTGTAAAACAATTTCAAATCTCAAGATTCCACAGAAATAGTAATTCCAGATTTAATTAAAAAAAACAGAAATAAAAAATAAAGAAAGAATACCTCTTGGTGAGGAAGGGCATAAGGAACAAAAGTGAAAGGAGGGGCATGGATGTAAGGGCTAAAGCTCCTTTCTTTACACAGCTTAGCGAAGGCTTTGGGGTAGCCGAGGCCATCGTCCACAGCCGTTTCATCCGCGGTGAAAACAAGATTGCTCGCAGCCATTGAAGTGTGCTTAGCTTCCGGTCGCAGAGAATTTTAGACCACTGAACAATGGAAATACGTTTGGACGATACGGAAGAAGAGCGGACCAACGGTCAAGTGTTAAATTGAAATCTGTTTGAGTGATTTCTTTTTCCTTTTCTTGAAACAATTCTGATGTTTTTTTTCTCACTTGAAATGGCTTGGAACTTGGAAGTGTAACGGCTAGATACACGTCACCTTGCCTCACGTTAGCACTTAAAACACTCCAAACCTTTTCTTATTTATAATATAAACTTTATAAAAATAAATTAATAAGATTTCATTAATTAATTAAATTTAAATGATAATAATTCATTAAATAAAAAAATTACATTCAATTAAAAAATATTTAATAAAAAATAAAGAGTAAATTCTTTAAATAGTCCTTCATAAATGGGGGGTTTCCATATTTAGTCCATCTGGATTGTCGCTTGGGGACAAATCGTATGGTGAGATGCGTCGACAACGCACCCCTACTTCCTCTTCCTCTCGTTCCTCGTTCTTCTTGTTGGAAATAATCTTCATGTTTACTTCCTTGGACATACCAGATGTCAGATCAACAATAGAGCGAAATCGCAGCGGTGATTAAGAAAGACTGTCGTCGGGACGGTCGATGACCTCGACCGTTCTTCACTAACGGTCGACCGTTCAGGCGTCTGGCAGCAGCGGCGGGTGTTTGACTGATGGACGCGATGTCGGTCGATCAAAAGAAGTGGCCGTGGAAAATTTTTAGGGTTTAGGCTCCGATACCATGAAAAAATTATTTCGGAGAAAATTCTCTTGTATTTCTGATGATTACAATTTACAACCAAGGCATGTATATATAGGTTCTCACATGTCGAGAATCCTAACTAAACAAGGAAAGGGAATCCCTATACTAGTAAACTACTAATACAAGGAAACTACCAAAACGGGCAGTATCTGTAACGCCCCGAAATCTGGCCCAAAAGAATTAATTAAATTTGTTAGAACAACTGATTACGAATTGGGCCTAAAAAGGGGTTAAAATTATAATTTGGATTCTAAACCAAACTTTTATGTCATCTCGTAGGAAATATTTTTGTGATCACGTCGGTTCAAACGGCTCGTGAATCGGAGTTATGGAGCTCATGTTATGGCCGTTTTATTAGGTATTTTGGGCCCGGAGCCCAAACCACTAGTATTGGGATTAATAAGTAAAACCTGAACCTATTAATATTAAAATAAGGCATATAATCGTACTCTTCTTCCGTTCGGATCTGAGAACCGCACAATCTTCATCGTCACCTTCGTCTTCATCATTCGATCGCCGCCTGAACCAGTTGCCGGTCGCCGGTCGTCCTTCCCCAGCCAGTCGCCGCTGCTTCTCCTTCGCCAGAGGTCCGCCACTCACCGCCAAGTCCAGTGCCGCCGACCACGGTTCCCAATCTTCGAGCTGCGGTCGTCGCCTCCACTGCCGGCGTCGGTTGTCCTCGCCGTCGAGTTGCAGCGCCGCCAAGCCTCCAGCCGCCGTCGCCCTTAGCTCAGCTGCCGCTACGCCACTATCCGCCGGCGTCCGCCACCGTCGCCGCATCCAGCCGCTGCCCCGGGTTGATACTGCGGGCAGATTAATCTCCACACCAGATTGATTGTTCGATTTCGTGTTTTGACTCAATTTGACCCGTTGTTCGTTTGATTTCGTTGATCTGTCTTCCGTTCGAGCTATTGATTCGATTTCGGCGTAATCCAGGTCTGTACTATGAAGTTAATAGCGTTTAGAATAGATTTAATGGTTCGGATCGTTATATATGTTTATGCTATAATTTGGCTAAATTTGGTTAATTGAATTAAATTGATTATTTGAATTGAATTGTTGAGGATTGTGAATTGACTGAACAGGTTTGACTTTGACTTGGGTTATGTCCTGTTTGACTTGGGCTTTGACTGGATATTCTGTTGACGTAGGTTTGACCTAATGGTTAAATCTAAGACTTTATTGAATTAATTAAGTCAATTAATTAATTCTAATCAGTAATTAGGATCAATTGGTTTATTATGTCGAACATAGAAACTGGCCATTGCTGGGGCGGCTGCAGGGCCTGGTCAGTGAGGTTAAGACGTGCGCACGAGGGT